CTGCTCTTCGGGTTTGCTTCTCTCTCTTTTCTTTGCTTTTCTCTGTCTCTTATTTCCTTTTCTTTCTGTTTCCCTTTCCACTCTCTTTTTTTTTCCCCCTTTCCTCTCTCTTTTTTTTTTCCTTTCCTCTCCCTCCTTTCCTCTCTTCTTCCTTTCGCCCTCCTTTCCCCTTCCTCTTTTCCACTCTTCCTCCCCCCCTTCCTCTCTTCTTTTCCCTCTTCCTTTTCTCTTTGCCCCCCTCCTTTGCTCTCTCCCTTCCTTTTCTTTTTCTCCCTTGTTCCTTTTTATCCTCTTTTATCTCTTCCCCCTATCCCACTCTCCCTTCTCTCTTCCTTTCCCTCTCTCTTCTTCCCCGTTTCCTACCTTTTTCCTCCCTTCATCCCTTCCCCCTTCCTCCCCCCATTTCCTCCATTTTTTCTGTGTTTATTTTTTAAGAAAAGCCAAAAAAAATTTATGTTTTTCGAGCACGTAACTATATCAACTTTTGCAAAACTGTCTCCATCTTTGCAGCTAATTTCCACATCAGCCTTTCCAAAAAATGTCTCTTTTATGACTCAGTAAAACATTTTTTTCCTGGCTTAGCCTGAGCGGAGGCAGGAGGACCATGCCATTGCCTCTCCCTCTCTAGGTACACATACATACCTATATGTATTACACACACACCCCAACCACAACCACTGCCATGCAGGGGGAAGCTACACCAGCATTTTGTACTGACTGCCATAGCAGCATGTGGACAGTCATCCCTCTCCACCCAAAATACCATTATTTGTGCTCCATTTCATCTGCATCCAACATGAGCTGCCATTCAGAAACATGTGAATGATGAAGAAACAATGACAAAACTCTTGGGAGAAGACATTCAAAATTTTTTTGCTTACTGTTAAAATAGTTGGGGTGACAAATGCCCAACAGACTCTCCAGAATTTACTTGGCTGGAATCCAATCATCATTTCTATATCTTCACAAAATCTCTGCAAGCCTGTAAATAGCAAATGTAAATGCAATTAGGTGTGAAAGAAACCAGCTGCAGTTTGCAGCATAACCCTTGTGATCTCCCCTGGGTCTAAGTACAAAAACACACTTGGACTTGTTGGTTGAAAGACTCAATGGAGGATCTAACCACACAGTCAAAAAAAACAGAAAGACTATTGTGGTAGGAACTATGCTAATAAAATCTTTACTTCCTAAGGATAAAACTGAAAATGAGCTTTTACACAGAGATTAAGAGTTCAGTGTGTTTAGGGTTACAGCATCAATAGTATGTCCTGATCACCTGCAATTATGTGTACACATTTTCTGTGAGGATGAACTTTAATCTCTCTCTACCTGTTTCAGCATAGACAATATCTGAGCTACTCCACACCTGTTACGTGACTGGGCTATGATACAATTTTATCACTTCACACTGAAACTGGTCATGTCCTGCTCTTTTTCATCTGATACATGAGCAGAACTTAGAGAGCACCTGTAAATATTTTAAGTTATATTCAATGTTGTTTGAACAAACAGACCAATTGACATGTTAGTTCTTCAAGTTATTGTATTGATTACATGGATAAAGTTACTTGCATTCATAAAACACAAGGATAGGTATTTCAGCCATCTCTCTGGCCATGGAAAAGATGTGCTGGCCCAGCAGTGGCTACTGCCCAGCTGAGAGAAGCCAGTCTGCTTTTCAGCCTTGTTCTGCAGAGCTCTAAGTAAATGGCCCCTACATTTATCCAAAAGTGATAAAAACAAAATTGAACTTTGTTCCTGCTCTTCTAATGATGATAAGAAGAGGGAGGTCTGGGGTCCAAGGCTGAGCTCACCTCTCACACCAACAATTCCAGTTTGGGCCGATTCCATCTAATAAAAGGATGATTATCGTAATTTAAAGCAAATTCTACATATTCTATATATAATAAAGCATTACTCTACATCGTTTAGTGACATAGAGACAGGGATAGAGCTTAAATATGTCAAACAAGTTGCTGAGTAAGGGAGGAAATACTTGAAATAGAAGTAATGAACTGCGTTATGTTCTTACTGCCCTTAGAACGAGCCACCGCAGCTGCTGAATATAAGAGATAATCCCCAGGCTTGATCCACCTAATTGTGAAGCCTTTCCATTGATATTAAAGAGAAATAAATCTATCCACCTGACTGCTCCAAGAATTAAAAAGGTAAAAAATAGCAATGGCTCAATATTCAGTGGGCAGCAGCAGGGCAACATGGTGCTAGGACAGCCCTAAAGGCCCAGCTCAGAGAGTGAGCACAGAGTAAGCCACTTGAGGCAGACACCATGTCAGAGAAAATAAAAAATTTTAAAAAAATTAAAAAAAAAAAGAGTGTTATAAGAAATGGAAAAGAATTATTAAAATTGTTTAAAAATTAAACAAGATAGTATTGCAAGAACTGTAGTTTGGTTGGGGAAAGTACAACCTATAGTGGATGTAAGCTTAGAAAACTAGCCCAAGGGGACCTGGTTGTCACTTTTTTTTTTCCTGTAACTGTAATTTCTCTCCCTCTCTGTGTCTTTTCCACTGACTACAGCAAATCATCTTCTTCAGAAAGCCTCTTCTCTGTAAAATATATGTAATTTTTACAACCCCTGGAATCACCGTACTTCAGCACATGTCTGAAATCTCCATTTTGTAAGAGAGCTTTGTATGCCTGGACTGACTGTAATCCCCAAGGTCACAGTCTTATGGACCTGAAAAGAGATCCCAGCTGCAAATGAGTTCCATTTACCTGTGTTTCATTCACCAGTTTGTTACACTTCAGTGCACCACCTGCAGCAAGCTACACATCACATAGTGGTCAACCCTGCCGTGCACTGTGGTGGGAACAAAACTAGTTGCAGCATCACAAGGTATGGGCTAAAGGGTCTTTCCACAAAGTTTAAAGCTTGTCCAAGTGTTTCTACTGCAGCCACAGCTGCAGGTGTACCTAACAGGAGAATCACCAGGAACTTCTGCCTCCAAAATCCACGCAAGTGTTGTGGTAATCTCCACAGATTTGTTTGAAATTTCTATCAAAAAACTTAGTTCCTTCTTGGAATCATCAGGAGATGTTCACAGTTTAAGGCACTTTTAAGCATTAGCCATTCAGGAGTCAAATACATGCAAATAAGTACAGGCATTACACAACACTCGGCTCTCTCCCAGTGAAAGGCTGAAAATAGGTTTGTCAGGTTCCACAGAAAAAATGCAGAGGATGCTTTACTTAACAGAATGCCGATTAAATCTTAATATATCTGGTCTCCCTCTCAGATCAGGCAGGCCTGCTGAATAACTTTGGGAAATAAATGATACATGATATTCCATATCTCAATTTCCACTCTCTAGCATAGGCTGATGTATTCACAAGTGTTGCAGATATAAACTCCATTAAAAAGGAGAATGCAAATCCAGACAGACAACTACTTCAATATTCTGCTACAGGTAAAATGTTTAAAACTACTGACGCTGTCTACAAATACACTGCAGCAGTTACCACTCGTGCTGATGACAAACCTTCCCAAAAACAGACTGTCAAGAAACAAATCTGGAAGGAGCACGAGCAAAGTTAAGGTCACACATTTCCAGTTTCCAACAGCGCTTCACTCAAGCACAAGGATTTTTGTATTTAGCTTCACATTACAAAAAGCAATAGTGGGAATTATGCTGATGATTAAATTAATACCTGCAGCTCTAAGCTATTTGTTACCAGACATGCATCATATTGTAAACAACTGGGGAATAAATAATTATACCAGCACATGAAATAAAACCCAGAATGTGACTGGATTATGTAGCACTGACTCTAGTGAAAAATAAGTGATCACAATGAAATAACTATGTGTGCCTCTTTTTAATTTAAAAATCCCAACAAGCTCAGCAAGCAGAACATGTAACAAGGACTACAGACAGATTTATTTCATCATAAAAGCACCTGCCACCATTGTGCCAACCTGCATGCTATGAAGTGTACAAGTATACAGAGAAAGGTGTCAGTGGAGTGGAAAACAGCAATTGCCAGAGCCTGAAAATATATTATGCCAATTTTAAGCACTGCTTGAAGGAATATAACAGGAGCAGCAGCTTCACTTGTATTTACAACTGGCAAATTGCAAGTCTACAAGCTGTATTCCTATGAATAGTCCTTAGAAAAGCAGCTTTAATGCAGTAGATGTAGCTGATACATTACCCAAGCAGATAATGATTGCAAAGTAAATCTTGCCTTTTTTGTGTCAAAGACTGGAAGCTCTTTAGCTTCAGCAGAAAAAGTCAATTCCAGGGAATAATCTTTGAAATAATTTACACCAAAGGCTTTACTAACATGTGTTGATTAGCAATCAGGTGGTACAGAAAGCATGGAAAAAATTATTTGTAATTGGCAGATCTTTTCCAAGTGCAATGACACATTAAAGTAAAATGTAATTTAAAAATCCTCTGCTCACATCCTTCCTTAGCAATGCTGTAACCATTTCTGTATTATTTCATCTTTTTCATCCAAGTTAGTGTTTTAAGGGATTGAATTTGTTGGTCAAAGCAGGCACTAGCCAAAGCAATTTGGCTTACAAGCCTAATAAAACGTTGTTCCACGAAGGCAGGTTTGTAGTGCTTCTGCCACACAGCGTCCAGAGGAGGAACAGAGCCGCCATCTGCTCCCTCTTCACCTGCATCCTTAGCTAAGAATACACAGAACAAGAAATTCTACCTGTTTAAGTAGTTCTGGTGTTATTTATAAATATTCTAAGCAAGGAATTTTTATCTTTCTGTCTGATGGCAGTGGGCTTAAAGGGGGCAATCTTTTTGGCACAGACAACGTGATGCTATAGATACTTCAGGACAAGAAGAATGACAACATCTGGTGTTTTAGCATAGTGTTGTTCAGGCACGTTGTCAACAAACAAGGAGGAAAAAGAAGAAAACAACCCCAACAAACCCTTTGAATCTCCTTAAGCATTCCCATTCACCATCTCTTATGGAACTGTCCTGATTTTAGGTAAGCTGGGGATAGGGCCAGTACAATAACCAGATGCTAATGGCTCAGTTGACACGTGCCTAGTGGTGTTTCCACAGGAATGGGTAAATGCTAAACCTGGTGTTAACTGGGGTGAGGGAATGGGCAAATCCTACATGTCTTTGTGTACACAACTTGCCAGCATTGATTTCCAACCTGGGAGCTCTATTAAATAATCCCCAAAATTCAACTCTCTACGTCAGGAGATACCTCAAAGCATTACACTCAGGTCCTTTGAGAAGACTGCTTGAATGTAAAGCTGTCAGCAGTTACCAGAAACAGTCACAGAGATTACACTTCTAAACCAACTCAAATTAAAATAGTCACATTTCAGAGACTTAAACCAAACATTCCAATCAACCAAAACACAATTAGTCTAAACCAACTTTTCTCTCAGTGTTTTGACTTCTTCTATTGTATTCTGTAACATTTGCTTACTAGGTCATGTCAGAGTTAGCTTGACACTCAGACCTGCTCACTGGATTTGGGTGTTAGTGCAGATAAAATACTCCTCTATATTTCCATGAAGTGAGAGAACACATGGAAGGGGTAATTCCCTGTCCTGTCTATAACATCCATTTCTCAAGCAAGGGCAACAAATTCTGCGTGTTTTGAATTACACATGATTTTTTTCATGCATTTATATTATAGAGTGAACCCCACAACACATGTAGATCCTTGTATTTTATGAGTATTCTTATACCTATCTCTGAGCATTGGCTTTAAGCTATTAGTAGGAAAAGGACATTAACTTACATAAAAGTAATGTATTTAGAGGAATCCTATAGTCATGAAGCCCCATTATGCTTCCCTTCAAAATAAGGGAATGTAGTTTTAAATCTTAAAGTGTTATTCCTTTCAGTCAGAATTTCACATTACCAGCTACTTTACTTTACGCTAAAATGGTCCTCTGAGAAAGCCTGTCCAAGAACAGTATTTTTTCTTACCATATATATAGGAAACTCCAACAAGCTCAAAGATGGCAATGATGACAAGAGAATAAGAAGCTGCATAAGTGTCCACAAGCTGTAACATATACATTCCACCCTACAGAAAAAAAAAGGGATATAAAACCCATTACTTCTGGCACATAGCTGGTGTCTACCTTCAGATGTGTCACAACTCCAACTGGTGCTAAGGTAGAACTAATGGACAGAAGCAGGACCCAGGACTTCCTATCCCAAGTGATCATCCAAACCTTGACTGGACCCAGGCTCATACTGCACTATAGTTCCTTCCTTCTGCCTGAGTATCAGATCCAACAAAAAAAAGCAGAGGGTACCCCCGAGTCTGGTAACTAACACAGCTTGGGAAGACAGTGGTTTCAGTCTTTTCAGATTAGGGACTGAACTGCAACCAGACCTTCCACTAGCAGCGTCTCTAACTACTTAGTACAGTGTTAAAAGCCAAATCACCACTGCAACCAGGAATACTGTAAATACTTCAGTTCATCTCTTTGGGAAGGATGTAATTCCCCATCTTCAGGGCAGAGGTTAAGCAGCATAGTTCAAGTGAAGGAAGGACTGAATCCATCCAGCATTCCACTAATATATATATATATAAAAGGTTTTCAGACTCGCTTGGTGAGTCTCTACATGGGGCCGAACTCAGCTTAATCTTCTACAAATGCACAGGAGGGGAACGGCCACCAGAGGGGGAGTGGGGACAGACACTGATGCTCAGAAACTTTTCTATTACCTGAGTGATCATAGGAAATCCCATGATGAAAAAGGAGATGCAGCACCCAAGAGTGAACAGTCCCTTGTGCGTCCGTAAGTATTTGGGGAACTCATCCGAAACGGAGGTCACAATAGTCTCAATAGTGGCAAACTGCAAGACAAAGCCAAAGGATAATTTCCAGTGCAATGTATGTAAAGTGATCCAACAGGGTGTAACGGAACATAGGAGAGCGCGTTGAATCCTAGCTGTTAAACACTCAGATGTCTGCACCAAAGCTTCAGCAAAATCACTCCTTTATTCCCCCTTCATTCCTTTATTCCCCCCCTCATTCCTTTATTCAAAAAACAGTTCACTGACCATATAGAAAACATCAATTAATCTTATGGCCCTCCAAACAAATTAACAGGAAAAAAGGAAGATAACAGGAAATAAAACCAGTTTACCATAGTGTCCAATCCAAGTGTCAGAAGCATCAAAAAGAATATTATAGCCCAGAATGGAGAGAGGGGAAGCCTAGTTAAGGCTTCTGGGTAAACCACAAAAGCAATTCCAGGACCTAGAAATGAGAAAAATAAAGGCTGTGATGTCTTACATTGCATGAACATTGTTGACTGAATGGGAAAGAGGGAGACGTGTAGAGCCATATTTCAAAGTCTAATACAATATTACTTAGCTTGATAAAAGTAAAGATCTGATTTAATCTCTCCTACTTACAGAAAGATTTAACCACTGCAAAGTTTAGTCTCAGATGATTAATTCCTGTTTTGGCTGCGAGTTTCAGAACACTGACACACTCTTACTTTCTGAGCTGCAGAACACATATTTAACCAGTCAAGCTAATACCCTAATCCAAACAGAAATCATGCACCACAGCTATGTTTCTTTCCTGCTCTGTGATCAAAATCCTACCACTGTCCCTGACAAGTAGCAGCTCAGCCTTAGATCCATGTAGAGATCTTCCACCCCTCAGTACTACAGGGATGAACAGAAAAGAAAATATTCTTTAACTCATCAGCACACAATCAAATGAGGAGAGAACAAAACCAATGCACAGAGCTGGTACCAGACACAAGCTAATGACTACCATGGATCTAAAAAATCCACAAGAAAATCTGAAACAATGCACAGCAGAAAAAAGAAAAAAAAAAAAAAAAAAAGGAGATGAGCCCTTAAGAGCTTTATTCAGGAGTTTTCCTTTCTTTGTGGGTTTGGCACCTTGGGCTACAGTTTTCATTTACTGCAAAGAAAAACTATTTTTACAACTAGGCTTAGATTTGCCTGGGCGAAGAGGCTGCAGCAGTGTGGTAGCAGCATTACAGTAGATGGCACTTCTCCCCTATTTATCCCAGCTAAAGGACACCTCAGCCCACTTCAAATGCTCTGAAGGATGTTACTTATCAGGCAGTGAGAGCCAAGTTGTGCCAATTGCATCACCTCTGCCACAAGAAGGGACTCCAGACTCACTCTGTCCTGGCCTTTTCTCATGTAGATTATTGCATGCCACTTCCCAGCACTCCCCATGCTGGCTCTGGAACACAGAGCACTGTTGCTTTCCACCTACTGAGAAAAGCACAGGCTCTGAGCAGCATGTGGAATTATCTCCACAGGCAACTTGTGAAATGTTTGGAGTTCCTTCTGAACAAAAGTCAAACACGAGAGCAAACAACATGGTAAAAAATAACACTGTACATGACTCAGTGTTACTGCCTTTAAGAAGTACTGCAGAAAACTGTGGGGGGTTTGGAATAGGAAGGTGCATGCAGAACTACTATATATTCATGAACATGCTCTTTCCTCTCTTGATTGCAGATTTCATCTTGGCTGTTACAGATAAGGGCTCTGTTTGCACTGGCTTCCTGAATGTAGAAGCTTAATTAAGTCTCAGAAAAATGAGTTCACATTAATCACACTTTTAGGAAAAGTTTAATTATACAATATGAAAGTGCACATCTCTCCATCCTGATTCTTCAAGGTATCACATGCCAGGGAGCAT